CTCACTAGGTTCTGTCGGTGACCCAGCACCCGTGTTGATCTTCTTGTCATAGATGAGGGCCTGTCTTGGGAATTCTGTTGCTCTCTCATCTCGGAACTCTAGAGAGCAGGCTGGCCCGAACACTTCGTCTGTTCTAAAGATTAGGGAATTGAAAGGCCTTCCTTGTGCTGGCTTGCAGACTTGGAGGTGTAGCTAGCATATTGATGACAGAGCAAGGAACACAATTGGGAGCATCGGGTGCCATCGTGATGGGGTAGCTGTGTATGGTGAGGTCGGCATCAGAGCGGTCTGATTAAAAACTGCCTTAACGCACATGCAGGCTCTGGGCCAGGCTGGTTTACTAGGGCAGAATGATTTGGGCCTTTGTGAAAGAATCGGTGGAGTGAAGCGTGAATCTTTCCCGGCACAACTTGCCAACAATACTGGCTCTGAGAAGCAGCATGTTGTATTTTTTTTATATGATCCCTTTTTTATATGATCCAGAAACTTTGATTTCTGGAGTGTGGCCAAAGAATTGTGTCTGGCACGGAGGACGCTCTAGTTTTAGAGAACAGAAAGGTGGGACCAGGTACACGTGGAGCTGAGGCGTGACTGTGCCTACCCCCTTCTCTAGGTCTACACTAAGGCCTCTCATGGTGTCTCGTTTCTCACAGAGGAGAAATGGCTCTGAGGAAGATTCTACTGCAGGGGCTCAGGCTCAAGAATAAGGTTCCCGTACCTGGGCCCAGCATTTGCCAGCATCAGTGGATACGCCGGGCCTCCACTGCTGGCAGGAGGTTGGCTGTGCATGTCTGTGCCTCCCGGGGAGGAGGATGCAGTAGTGAGACGGACACCGGCTGGGCTGCATGTCCTGGCAGGCTGCTGTCCACAGGACCAGCACGAGGGCAGGGAGCTCTTCCCAGAGGCCCGCCCTGAGAAACCACGGCTTGGGCTGCTGCCCTGGGGCCAGGGAAGAGTCCCACTGTGTTTGAGGAAGAACCAGAGTTAGGTGGTTGGCAGGATGGGCACCTGGTGTTCAGGAGGAAGAGGCCTCTGGAACACCCGGGAGACAGGCAGCAGAGTGCTGACCTTTTCAGCAAGGGAGGCTCCAGGGCACAGCCTGAGTCAGGAGACCAGTCAGTCCCTGGGGACGAGACCTGAGTTCTCCGGTTTGGTAGAGGTCTTTCAGGGCTGTTGAGATCTGGTAGGAGTCAGGACAGGCAAGCTATTTTTTTCTTTTTCTTTTCTTTTCTTTTTAATTGCTGGTGTGGAAATCCACTCACACGCCAAATAATTTTTTCATTTGCTATTTTTTGCATTTCATGGGCTGGGTGGGCAAAAACTCAGAGCTTGCAAAACTTCAGATTTCATTTGAGGTGGTAAAATAGGGTTATTGTTTGTGTGCAGTATAATTGTATCTGCTAATGGCATCTCCTGTCCTTAGAGTCTGCCTTGTCATAAAGATTTTGCTGTGAAGCTTGAGGACAGACTAAACAGGAAAACAAGTTTGCTGGATTTGGGTGTGTAACTAACAGGCTTTTGGCATAGAATTGTCTTGCGAACTATATTAACTTTTTTTTTCTCTTTGAGGTTCTGAATGCATCGAGGTTGGCCTTCTTAAGCCAGTGGAACGGTCTGGCAATGCATTTGTGATCTAGGGCCTGAGATGTGTTATCTCACCTCTGCCACATTTAAACAGAGTATTTCTGAAGTGTGTAGAGTAATGGTTGATAATGAAACTGGAGGCTTCACTTTTGTTTTAATTCCAACACTTTTACCAGGAAACTTGCAAATATTTCATTTTCAGAAGAGGTGCATTTGTGATTTTTTTTTAAGATTATTTATTTATTTATTTGACAGAGATCACAAGTAGGCAGAGAGAGCGGGGGAAGCAGGCTCCCCGCCGAGCAGGGAGCCCGATGTGGGACTTGATTCCAGGACCCTGGAATCATGACCTGAGCCGAAGACAGAGGCTTTGACCCACTGAGCCACCAAGGCGCCCTGTGATTTTCTTAATAAGAAAGTATTTCTTGTCAGTAAATTTATTAGTAAAGGGAAGAAAAAATTTTGCTATAATCCTACCTTCCGGATGACAAGCTGTTACTATTTGCATAGATACACTTCCAGTCTTTTATGTATCTTTAATTTAGTATCCTTTCTCTCAAAAACCAGGAGGGACCAGGTTTTGTTTTGTTTTGTTTTGTTTTTTTTATGATTTTATTTGTCAGAGTGCACAGGCAGAGGGGGAAGCAGGCTCCCCACTGAGCAAGGAGCCCAATGCAGGACTCGATTTCAGGACCCTGGGATGATGACCTGATTCTAAGGCAGGCGCTTAACTGACTGAGCCACCGGGGCATCCCATGACCAGGTTCTTAAATAGAAATGTTAGTAAACCACAGACTTAAAGAGAATTTAGAGGGAGGATAATCTGGGTATATGGGGGGAGATAAGCATCATAAAGAAGACAATAAGAACTTACCTGCAAATATCTGTGACTAGGTTCTTGGTATTTCCTTGGGAGTATCTGTGTGTTTTTCTCTAACCTAGCTGAATGTCCAGGAGCAGCTACCTCCCAGTTACCTGGTTAATAAGGTAATATTTCCATTGCCCCAGAGAACTTCAGTTACACTCAGCTTCTACCTTGATCCTTGTACAGCTCTACAGAGCAAACCTTACTCAGATCCGAGCGGTCTTTGCGAGTGGGTCCAAGGAGGCACCCTGAGCCAAAAAAAGAAACTTATGTCACCGGAAGCCCAAGCCCTGAGAACACAAGGTATGACCCAGTAACCTGTGGCCCCAGCCAGATCTCTGCAAGGAACCTTCATGTCTCAGGTCTAGAGGCAGCGGATGATTTTGTTTTGTTTTTGTGTTTTTGGTTTTTGACGGCTGGTGATATTTAAGAAGATTGGGGTTTAGTTACTCTAACCCGCTCATTCAGATCTTACTTCGTTCATGATAACAGTCCTCAGGCTGGTTGATGACTCCACTTGGAGGCCACAGGAGGCCTTTGTGTTCCAGTTGGCTGGGCGTGCCCCCTGCTTCCGTCTCTTCAGTCCTGTTCCCTTAACAGCCAGAGGCACCTAAGCCCCACCCTGTGCTCGGAGGGCTCGCGAGCAGCGAGCCCTGACTGCGCGGGAGTGCTGACAAAGGAACCCTGGCCACCGAGGCAGTCCCTCTAGGAGTTCATGAATGCTTCAGATGTGGGGAAGGGGAGAAGGGCGGTATTGCTTTCATTTTGACCACGAGGCATTGAGATACTCTGAAAGGTCATTCAGCAGACCCTGGAATACTTCCAAGGACTAGGTGCTAAAAGATACGAAACCGAATAGGTCATGGAGGAGAGGACCTTCAGATGTTTTCGATTTAGTGCCCGGTGTGTATTAGGGAGTCAGGAAATGCACACTGAAAGGAACAGTGCATTTGGCATGTGGACTAGTTGGCCAGGATCTTATGTCCCTGTTTTTTTAAAGTTTTAGCTTTTGTAGCTCAGGACTTGTAGTCCTCTGTTTTCAGTTGCTGATAGAAGGTTTGCTCACAGCTGGTCACAGAGCTTCTTGGACTTTTAATCAGAATTCTTGAAGGTAGCAGAGACGGGTTGAGATGCTTGCTGTATCTGAGCTACCTCAAGAGGCCACAAAGTCAAGGACAGGAGGAGAAAGAGTAAAAGTGATATATGTGGGGTGCCTTGATTTAGAGCCCTGAGATTAAGGAGGAGCTAGGACAGGGCTAAGGAGGGCTTGTTCTGGAGGCCGGGCTGAAGCCTTCAGGCTCAAGGGTGTTAAGGAGTAGCCCTTGGTGGAGGAGAGCTGGAGGAAGGGAAGGCCTTGTGATAAGGAGTGTCAGGTTTCACACTCACATCCTTACCTGATGGTTCTTCAGACAGTGCCTAGAAGCTTCTTTAGGTCTTTGTAATCAGCTTACTAACTGGCTGAGTGAGTTTAGTTGTTAGTCAGTAACGAAGAAGGCAAAGGTCAGGACCAGCTGTCATGATTGTGACCTGGCCTGGTTAATTACCTGAAACAGATAGTCTTTGCAGTGTACTGGGCAGTAGGGGAATTGGGATGGTGTATCAGAAGATAGAAAAGCAGTCGGGAAGAGGATTTGGCAAGCCGTCTTAATTTCCTCATGCTATAACCATCCTGTGAAAGTAGCAGTAATGTTTTCAGAACCAGACCAGTGCCATAGGGGTTATCTCTGGTTTATGCAAATGGCTTTGCAGGTCCTGAAGTCCTGCGGACCAAAGGTAATTGTGTTTTTAGGTACAGACTCCTGGGGCAAAAGATTCTGCACACAGGGTTTTGGATCATCTTTGCTTCCTGTCCAGGGACTGGTTTTTATTGTCTGTAAAAACAGACAGTTTTTCCCTGTTTTTTTCCCCTACCAGACTGAGTTGAGGAATGAATGTAGGTAGTGTTCCGGGTTAGTGAAAATCTCGGCTTCCAGAGCTCAAAGGACTGCCTGGATCCAGGTGGTTGTCTTTGCAACCAGGAAGGTAACTTCCGAGTTTGGGTGGGAATTGTTAAAAACCAGTGTGGATGCCCCGCCCTATAGCAGACATTTATAGCTTTGGGATAGCTCATCATACAAAAATCTGTATTTTCCAAGGTACTAAAGGAGGAGTCTGTTTTTATATTACTGGTGATTTCACTGGAAGATGGGTTACAACTTTCTTGGAGGCAGTGCCTGTGATTTGGAGGTAGTGGCTGTGAAATGTTACTTGTAGGTTTAACAGGAAAACTGTCAAGGTGGAGAGTAGCCCATCGTAAGGGAGGTCTGCTCACGGTGGATACTTGGGAAGTACTGCATTGGGTACGAGGTTTTAAATTGTTCTTTGAGGTCTGCTGTGGTCACGTGAACCCTCAGCCTGACTTGAGTGCCCACACGGCCGGAGCGTGGCGGGGCTCCGTGTAGCTTGTGCACAAGTGTGCTTATTGAGTTAATGTGTACGCGGGAAACCGCCTCCTGTGCCAAGGGTTGTATTAACCACCTGGCTTCTCAGACTGGTCACTCTCCCTCTTCAGCTCCCCTGGATCCAGTACCTCAGCAGCCATGTCGAAGCCTCACAGTGACGTCGGCACGGCCTTCATCCAGACCCAGCAGCTGCACGCGGCCATGGCTGACACGTTCTTGGAACACATGTGCCGTCTGGACATCGATTCACCACCCATCACGGCCCGGAACACTGGCATCATCTGTACCATCGGTGAGCGGTTTGTGCCCCCCCCCAAAACAAGGGCTTCATAGGGCCGTGATCTTTTCTTTCCGGAAGAGACATACATGGTAAACCCTGGGTGCTGAGCGAGACGCTGCACAGGGTCTTGTGGGGACTAGGGTCCTAGGAAGTTGTGCTGAGGAATTTGCATGCTCTGTGTTTGCTGCTAAAGGCAGAATTTTGATGGTGTCTTCCTTAGCACATCTTCTAGGAGCATCTCAGAAATCTAGGGAAGATCTTTTCCACATGCTCTGTGCAACCAAGATTCTGTGGTAGGAAAACGGGCTAGGCTTCGGGGGAGAGTAGAGAGGGTTGGCAGAGTCTCATTTAGGCTTTCCTTGTTAGATTGGAGCCTGTAGGATTTGATTGGAATAGGAGAAATGTCCCCTTAAATCAAGAAAGTGAACAAAACACAGTAACAATCTTTATCTGCTTTTGAAAGAACCTTGAGCAATTTGTAGGAGGAAAATTCAGGAGAAAAGACTATCAAGGGCTCTTCAAACTTAAAGGTGTTATTTCTCCTTTGAATAATTAACACTTTGGCTTTAAAATTTTTTTTTCACTAGGCCCAGCTTCCCGATCGGTTGAGATGCTGAAGGAGATGATTAAGTCTGGAATGAATGTGGCTCGTCTGAACTTCTCTCATGGAACCCATGAGGTGAGCCTCAGCTAGACGGTTTGGCCCCTGGGGCAGCGTGCAGGAAATTGGGTGCAAGTGCTCTGTTCATTTAGCCACACAGAATCAGGCAAGAAAGCATCTGGGGTTTAGAGCTAGTGCAGAGATCATCTTCACTGGCCTGTCCCTGCTGTCCTTCCCCCATCTCCTGCCATCCTACCTGGCCAAGTCTCCTTACACGGAGACAACCTCTTTGGTTATTGGCCATGGTTTTCCCACACACCTGTGGTGACAGAAGTGCCAGGGTTGTGACACTGGCCGGCTCAGGCAGCGGAGCATGCAACTCTCGATCTCGGGTGGGGGTTCAGGCCCACGTTGGGTGTGGAGATTGCTGGGAAAATAAAGAAACTTAGAAAAGAGTAGAAGGGTCTTCTGGAGAATGCCATGTAAGCTATTAGGTACCATGGCCACAGAGCTTAACACCACCTACCCCTGTGTCTCTGTAACAGTTCCTGTTGCAGAGGTGAACCAAAAGGTCACCCTACAGACAGATTTCTGTTTAGTTTAGACCCAAGATAACTGAGCAGGTCCAGGAGAAGGGTTTCTACCACTGCGAGTTAAGTGGTGAGTCTCCGTACCGACACTCCAGCACAGAATACCCTGTTTGCTCAATGCTGTGTGGCTGGCCTGTCTCTTCCCAGGGGTTCCCAGGTGCATTGAAATGAAGTCCGCACGCTTCTCCGGCAGCTTGGGAGGCGCGTGTCTGCTGAGGCTGTGTAGGACCTGACTTGCGCTGTGGGCGGAGGACTTGTCCAGGGACCAGGTGGCAACTCCTGGGACATGCTCTGTCCCCACTCCTGTTTCCAAACTTACATTGAGGGAGGAATGGAGGTTCCCTGAGGGACAGTTCCTTTTAAAACCCATTGGGCTGCATCATAAGCCATGGGATTTCATACTGGCGTTGATATAGAAGAAATGAATGAATATGACTTTCCCCTCTCTTGACTTCTGATACTTCCTGTTTGGAATAAAGAAAATGCTACCCTGTAAAGACAAGTGGTGAGGGGTTGCCCTGTGGCATTTGGAAACTGGTGTTCAGTTTAGACTAAAAATAAAGCCTCAGGAAGTACAGTCCAAGAAGTGAATTTCTCCTTCTGGAAATGTGAGACTCGTGGGTTCCCTAACCTGGTATTTCATAAACAGCCTATGTCCTGGCAGGCGTCAGGCCTCCAAATGTCATGAGGGCCTGACCAAGTTTAGAGGAGCTGTGCTCAGCCAGTGCTTCAGGCACCTTAAGACATGTCTGTGCTGACATTCTCTAATTTTCCAAAGTCGGGGTCCTTGTCAGGAGTCACCAGGAATTTTTGCAAGTGTTAGCTTAGCCCAAAGAGAGAGCTAAAGATACTAGCTAGTATCTTTAGCTAGTAAAGATACTAGCTAAAGATCAATGGGGATTGGTTCACCATTGATCCCCTGCTGCTATACCATGCCAGGGTCTCCTATATGCAGCAGAAGCAGCAGAAATAGATTTAAGAAGTTGACCTTTAACTAGGCTTGATGGCCTCTTCCATCTAATCCAGTAAATTAACACCGCCATAGCTCCAAAATGGCAAGGCCATGGGATGTCTGTTGCACTTGCCGGAGGGGGGGCTGGCCCAGGGATTTGGGTGTTTGTTTATTTTCCCTTTTTAGTCTTTATTTATTCTATATATTTTTTATTAACATAGAGTGTATTGATTTGGGTGTTTTTAGATTACAGGAGGCATTTGGAGATAATAATCTCTGCTTCAATTCTTATTCCCAGAATCGAATTGGGATTTAAAAAAAAAAAAAAACACACACACACCCAGGTCCTTGTTGCAGGTGTGAAGTTTTTGACCAGGATACAATTGTCTCTGGGATCGGGGCTTTGGAAACACATCTGAAATAGTTCTCATTCTGCATCATGTAACATAAACAGGTTGACCGCATGTCGGGGCTCTTCATAGGCTCCTTGGACTAGTGGCTGCACCAGGCTTTCCCAGCTCTTGACAATTTTTAAATACCTTCTAAACAGCATTGAAGTTACTTTCTCTCCCTGACTCTGTCAGAGGGACGTGTACTGTCTGCATCTGATCTCTCCTGCCGGCTTTGCCCACCGTGGTGTCCCTAGCCCCGTCTGCCAGTTCAGATGCGCACGATGTGTTCTTCCTGAACATGTGGTCCCAGAGATACTGACTTTGAGACAACCTAGATTGAGAACTTTCCACAAGGACGGTATTGATTTCCTTACCACTTGGTCACATCCAGAGGAACCACACCACAGTGGGAGACTGTAGCACCAGCACACCTTCTGGAAATGTACCCAGAGATGCCAGGATAGAGGATTTGAGTAGTGTAAGACCTAATATTCTCATCGATAAGTGTACAGTAGATGACTTTATGGCCTCCAAGAACAAAAATAACACATGCTTATGATTATATAGTTTATTAGGCCACCAAAACCCCTCAAGTTCCATAAAATGAAAATTACAGAGACTCACTCATATTCTCAGGCATATATTTTTCTTCTAATTTTTTTTTTAATGGAAATTTTAAGTTTAACAGTAATCAAGACTTAGAGGGGCATGGGCATCCGGGCAGCTCAGTCGGTTAAGCATCTGGCTCTTGATTCTGGCTCTTGATTCTGGCTCTGGTCATGATCTCAGGGTCCTGCTGAGTGTGGAGTCTGCTTAGGATTCTCTCTCTCTCCCTTCCCCTCTGTCCCGACCCACACCCCAAAAAGAGAAAAAGGAAAAAAGCAAACTTACAGACTTAAATGTACTTAGCAGAAAGCAAAAGTCTTAATGAAAGTAAGTGAAATACTTAACTCAAACACTAGGGACCAAATAATCTAAAAGGGATGAAGGAAAAGCATAACTTGATGAAATAGAAAATAAATTTGACAAACTAAAAACCACTGTAAAACAGAAACTTCCAGGAAAGTCTGGTCAAGAATGAGGAGGCACAAAATAAAAAGAGACGGAAAAGGGAGTATTTCCCATACATTTGAAGAGTGTTTGAAAGTCATAAAAAGACTTACACTTTAATTTCTAGAGGTTGAGATGAAATTGACTATCTTCCAAGAAAAGGTAATGTCTAAGAAGTGGAAAGTATAAATAGATTAACAGCTTAAAGAAATTGAAAAGGTGACTGTAGGCTCTAGCTCTGTTCAGACCACCGGCCTTGAGGACATGGATGGCTTACTTCTGTCTCCCCTTGAAGGAGCAGTTACATCCTCTGTCATGCCGTTTCAGAGCCACGTGTATAGACGTCTTTCAAGTATGTTCTTTGAAGCCAACACACCCTGAGAGTAAGATGAGACAAGGACAGTAGCCTAACCAGGCCGGTTAGCTTGCAGGCTCTGTCTCACTTAGAGAGAAGCAGACAGCAAAGGTAAAATTCAGCAGCCCACGTCCAGCCATCTACTGAAAGAACTTTCCTGCCCTATGCCCATGTAAATTTTGTTCAAGAACACGAAGTCCATACTGGGATGAAACTGAGTGGTCAGTAGGAGATGATGGTGACACTAAGGGCTCACATCTGTTCTAAGGACTTCCATCAGCTCTGAGGAAAGGGCATTTGACAACATGAAACACCCATTTCTTCAAGAAAAAAATTATCTCCATGTTTTATTCTATGCTGTCCTTATTGTGAGCCAGCAACAGAAAGAAATATTTGTAACTCAGAGTACGGATCTCTGCCCCCAGAAAACAAGCCAGCAGTCTTCATTAGAGACTAATTAGAAGGAAGATTCTCAGACCCAAGCTTCACGCAGCACCGTCCTTGGAGCTCGAACTCTGGTTCCAGCTCCCCTCCAGCTGCCTCACAGGTGCTGACCTCCGTGCCTCTGATCAGCAGGGTCCTGTTGGTTCCCCGAAGAACTCTTAATGTCTTGGCTTTGAGTCCCATTTTTAGTCAGATCGTAGTGGCAACTGAGAAAAGAGCAACGACTTAGGAAAAAGATGGAGGTCAGGGCTGTTGGTTTGAAGAGAGGCCATCCTTAGTATCCCTGGGCCACTCCAAAATGTGATTGTGAAAACCAGGTCTGTGGGACCTTAGCAGTGGCTTGTTTAGCTTGGGCCATTGTGAGCTTAAGTAAATAACTCTGGAGTTTGAATTGTAGTTGGGATCAATAGAGGAAAAGCTCAGAATTGCCAAATCTTCTATCAGAGTCTGACCCTGATTGCCAGACCAGTATGACCCACACCCAGGGGCAAGGTCTCTACTCCAGTAGTCCACTGTATTTGCCGAGGGAGTGTAATGGGTCCCAGGGAACATAAGGAGGACAAGCTTCTTTCATGTTGACCCGTGGACGCCATCCCTGTAGTGGGTTTTGGTGGCAGCATTCTGAAGTTTCTAAGATTGGCTCTTGAGTGAGTGAGTGTTGTGGAAGAAGGGGGTGGAAGCCTAGGAGACTGACACGAGCAGGTAGAGGGGGAATGGCTGAGCCTGACGCGAGACACGGAAGGTGGTCTAGAACATCACAGGCCTTTCCTAGGTGATCCGCCTCAGCTCCAGCGCTGGGTCCTTGTGTGGGAGCACCCGTTCCAGCTTCCTCCTTTCCCCCTAGTACCATGCAGAGACCATCAAGAACGTGCGCGCAGCCACAGAAAGCTTTGCTTCCGACCCCATTCTCTACCGGCCGGTTGCCGTGGCCCTGGACACCAAGGGACCCGAGATCCGAACGGGGCTCATCAAGGGCGTGAGTATCGTGGGGAGCAGCGAGAGGGAGGGCACAGGAGGGCGTGGGCTCCAGAGAGCCAGCCTCTGCAGTCTGTCCAGCTCAGGCGTTCCTTGGAGTTCAGATCCTAGACGGGAGAGTCTTGTTCATCACTGTCAGAAAGGCTGATTTGGTATATTTGGCTTAACACAGAGAGACGCAGTTTTTACTCTAAAAACCTGTTTCCAAGTCTCTGTCCTTCACCCCCACCCCCCCTCGTTTACATAGTGGGACTGAAACATTGTAGGTTTTCCTTGGGTGACTTCTTTGAGGTAAGATTAAGAACACCATCAGTGATTCCCAGAGCCAGAAGCTTTCTTGTCCTTCTGGCGGAGATGCAAGCATGGTTCCCTGGGGGGAAGAGCTTTTCTGTGGGCTCGCAGCTTACTCTCTGGTCTGTAGAGTGGCACTGCCGAGGTGGAGCTGAAGAAAGGGGCCACGCTCAAGATCACCCTGGACAATGCCTACATGGAAAAGTGCGACGAGAACATTCTGTGGCTGGACTACAAGAACATCTGCAAGGTGGTGGAAGTGGGCAGCAAGATCTACGTGGACGACGGGCTTATCTCTCTGCAGGTGAAGCAGAAAGGTAGGTACAGGAGGCAGCACCTCATGCTCTGGAGCCATCTTTAAATGTCCCCTGACCCAAGGACAGTGGGAAGTTTGGCTGACAGCAAGGTGCGCTCTGTTTGTTCTCAGGAATTCCTTTTATAATTCCATGTGCTTTAAAACACACTTCAGTCCAACTTTACTGCCCGCTCAGGGAGCATCTGAAATTTTTACCCATCCTCACTGTTTCTGCTTTCTTCCCTGGGAATGACAGCTAATATTTAAGAATCAGGTACTATGCTAAGCATTTTACAAGGTAACTCATTTAAATTTTAAAGCAACCCTCCTGAGCAGTTATTATCCCAATTTGACAGACAGGTGGGGAAACAGGAACAGACGGGTTAGTCGACTTGGCCAAGATTTTTTTTTTTTTTAAAGATTTTATTTATTTATTTGACAGATAGAGATCACAAGTAGCCAGAGAGGCAGGCAGAGAGAGAGGAGGAAGCAGGCTCCTTGCTGAGCAGAGAGCCCGATGTGGGGCTCGATCCCAGGACCCTGGGACCATGACCTGAGCCGGAGGCAGAGGCTTTAACCCACTGAGCCACCCAGGCGCCCTTTGGCCAAGATTATACAGGTAGTGAGTTGGGATCTGAATTCTGAACATAACCCCCTCCATCCCCAATTTCACGCAGGTGCTGACTTCCTGGTGACAGAGGTGGAGAACGGGGGCTCCTTGGGGAGCAAGAAGGGTGTGAACCTCCCTGGGGCCGCTGTGGACCTGCCTGCTGTGTCAGAAAAGGACATCCAGGATCTGAAATTTGGGGTAGAGCAGGATGTAGATATGGTGTTCGCATCTTTCATCCGCAAGGCATCTGACGTCCATGAAGTCAGGAAGGTCCTGGGAGAGAAAGGGAAGAACATCAAGATAATCAGCAAAATTGAGAATCACGAGGGAGTTCGGAGGTGAGTTGCCCCTCTCTGGCCCCTGCCTCCCTCAGCCCCAGCCTCACTTTGCAAAAAGCAGACCATATCCCATGAATACCCAGGTCCTAGACCTGGCGACCTGCCCATCTGAATACAGACTCTCTAGCTGAGGCCAGACCTACTCAGTCCAAACACCTGAAGAAGGGGAGCGGATGGTTATCGGCATTCGTATTTATTTATTTACTTGGTTTTATTTTTGTTTTAAAGTTTGTTTAAATAATCTCTGCACCCGATGTGGGGCTCAAACCTGCAACCCTGAGATCAAGAGTTGCACGTTCTTCTGACTTAGCCAGCCAGGGGCCCCAAGCTATTGGTATCAAGGGGGAAAAAAAGGTGTATATCTTCCCATAGACTCGGGGACCAGTGTTGGAGGGGGGACAGGGTCCGTGCTCACAGGGTTAGAGGCCATCATGCTGTCCTTCTGATCAGAAGCGCTGCTTTGCTGGAATAAAGGGACCTTTCCCCCCCATCCTTCACCTCTGCCACCATTTTTCCCAATGGCAGGAAGATGGCAGGCTCTTAAGAAGGGGCTCTTTTTTGGTCCCTCACCTGGGAGACCTGTGGAAGCTCCCGGTGTCCTTGTCTTCACGTAGGAAGCAGCTGGCCTGATGCGTGGGCTGGCTCTGGCACATCATCTGCTTTCTGGAGGAAAGCGCGTGCCTCCTCCGGTGTGCCTGGGCCCGGCTCCACGTCACCACCTCCCCAGTATCCCCAGATAGAGCCAGTGAGTACGCCAGCTTGGTGACATCTGTTCCTCTTGGGCTCCCTACTAGGAATATAAGTCAGCACAGCTAAAACCCTAGATCTGCTTGTGTGGATTAGGTGTGTACTTGGGGAGGGCGAGAGGACTGGCCCTTCCCACTGTTTGACCTTGCCCTGCTTAGCTCTGTGTAGATGTCCTTTGTACCAGGCAACACGGAGTCCTCTTTGCCGTCCTGATAAACCTGGGTTATGCTAGCTGACCTTGGCCGCAGGCCAGGCAAAGCCACACATCCTCTTGCCTTCAGTAGGTGGGAGGGGGCCGCCTCAAGGAGCAGCCCTCAAGTATCCTTGGCTGGAAGGCCACGGACCTCTGTGTCAGGAGTAGTCAGCTGGCCTCGTGTTCTTCGTTCTGCCTGGGAAGTGCTGGCTGGAGTGCCGGTGGTAGAGAGATGCCCTCTAAGGGCATGGAGATGCCGGGGGAAAGGAAACAAACATACATACACGAGGCTTTGGAAGAAACCTTGTCCTCTCCCCGGCGGAACTGTTAGCCTGCCTTGGGAGACAAAGGTAGCTGGGACACTCTGTCACCTCTGCACACCCAGGGTGAGGTCATGGACGGCTTTCCCGGTGAAGGGCTGCTGAGTCCGAGAACGTAGGAGAACCTCCTGAGCCTCACTGTACTTGCGGCCTTGTTTCATAGAGTCTCTCCCTTCCTACCCCCTCTGGCAGGTTTGATGAGATCCTGGAAGCCAGCGATGGCATCATGGTGGCTCGTGGTGATCTAGGCATTGAGATTCCTGCAGAGAAGGTCTTCCTTGCTCAGAAGATGATGATCGGGCGGTGCAACCGAGCCGGGAAGCCCGTCATCTGTGCGACACAGGCATGTGCCTCTCTTCATGCTCACACGCTTGCGGGGGGCGTGGGGTGGTGCTGCCTCGTCTCTTCCCAGGATCCCGCCCCCCCTCCCACCTCTCAAACACACACACACCAGGGAGTCAGTGTGTAGTCCTTCCTCTCTGAAGGCCGCCCCGGCCGCGTCTCACTGTGCTCTGTGTCCTCCCAGATGCTGGAGAGCATGATCAAGAAGCCCCGTCCCACCCGGGCTGAAGGCAGTGATGTGGCCAATGCGGTCTTGGATGGAGCTGACTGCATCATGCTGTCTGGAGAGACGGCCAAAGGGGACTACCCGCTCGAGGCGGTGCGCATGCAGCACCTGGTGAGTTCTCCGGGCCAAGCTGGGCCGGGGCGGACGCGAGCTCCTGTACAGAGCGACACCCTTTAGGCTTCTGTGCCCACAACCTTTTGTGATCCTCTGAGTCACAACAGGAGTGAGGAGGTGTGTGCTGGGGGAGAGGGGTGTCTTGGTTTTTTTTCCTTCTGCCTTCCCTGCCCACACGCCCTCTCCTGTTCCCTCCTCCTGTTTTGGAGGTGTCCTTCTCCTCCATCTGTCCTCAGACAGTTCACTTCCGGTGTCAAGGCTGTGAATCTGCCCCTTTCTCTGGACAGCCCAGAGGACCCAGGTGCCTCTGTCCTGTTCTGGGAAAAGCCCTGGGCTCCTCCCAGCCCACCTGTCCGGCTTCCATTTGGGTCCTCACCTGTCCCATATTAGGTGCCTCCGCTGGGGGCCCCTGACCTGTAGCGGAGGCTGTTGGGTGCACTGAGCTGGCATGCAGGTGACATAGCTGGCCTTGCATGCATGGCCCCAGGAGCGGGGCCTGCTTTGCTGAGCTGTTGCACTCGCCTCAAGCTGGAAGATGGGGTTTGGCGACTGACAGCAAGTCCACAAGTCGATACAGGTGGAAAGAGACCGAGCCTGCTGGTCCTGGTGTGAGAGCATCCAGAAGGGTCCTGGAGGCGACCCTTCTTCCCCCACCAGGCAGCTAGCTCTCAAGGCGCTTCATCTTGGCCATGTCCCACTGCCTGGCTCCTTCTCAGCTCCCCAGCCCTGTCTGGTCCTGCTGTAGATGCAGTGAAGTGTTAACCTAGGGTTCAGTTACCAGGGCTTCTGAGGCCTGGGAGACAGTGCTACAAATTCACTTTCTTAAAATGGTCCAGTGTCAGTGCTTATAATGTGAGCTCAGCAAACTCGCCTCAGATCCTGAAGTGGTTTTTCTTTGACCTTCCTATTCCTTTCCCATCAGCAAAGGATCCCCATGCCCTTTGTGTGATGCCCCTCTCCTGCAGTCCCCCGGATATGAATACTCCCTTCCCCCAAAAAAAGACCTTTTCCTTTCCTCCTTCACTCTGTGTGTCAGGTTACTAGGTTATAGATTGATGTAATCTTCATATTCCCTGTGTGATAGATGTCACCCCAACTTCTAGAGGAGGATTATGTGATGATACAGCCTCAGTTTGAACCAGATCTGCTGGCATCAGAGCCAGTATTCTCCAGTAACAGAGGGCTTTGTCCAGCTGGAGATGAGGTCGGGTCTCCAGCAGGGACCCGTACTGGGCTCAGAGAATAAGAATCATGCTCTGGCCTCTTGAGCTCCTGTTGTTTCTCCGTATCCCAGTCTTTCCTCTGAACAGACACCTTAGAGAGAACCAAAGGCTTGGATGGCCCTGCTCAGAAGATAAGTGACGGGCTCTGGACTAGGCAGTGCAGGCCTCTCCTTTCCACACCCCCAGTTAACACTGGCCGAGAGCTTCTCTTAACCATCCACTGCTTTCTCTTGTATCTGAGGCCATTAACCACCCATAACTAAGGGCTAGTAATCTCAGGTATGGTTCTGTTTCCTGTTCACGTCTCTTGTCCTTTGGACTGCATGCCATCCCTTCTTAGAGAAAGAAAACCTTTAACCTAGTAAATCCTGCCACGTACTTGCTTCTACTATCAAGTTAATGAGATGCTCTGATTCTCCCCACACCCCTCATTCTCTAAGATGCTGGTGATTGCGTTACAGTCCTCTGAAGCTTATATCGTCTTTCCGATTCTTGATGCTCTCTGAGCAGGTGGTCTGTGAATAACTGAATGGCTTTCTTATGACTGTGATAATCCTTAAATTTTAATCCAGTGTCCTGTTGCGCTCACCTGTGTGCTTCCACAGGCATCTGTCCCTTCACATGGCTGTTCCGCGTGCCCCTCACCAGTCTGCCATTTTCCCCACCTTTGTGCTTGGACCACGGTGAAGCTGCGTGGCTTTGGCTCCGTCTGACCCCAGCTTTCCGGCGCTACTCAGCGCGTTCCCACGGCCGGCCACTGGAAGGGCTCGCAGCAGCCCCGTGCCTGGAAGCCAGGCGCCCAGCCCTGCGGTAACCAGCCATGTGAGGAGGGAGGGCCTGTTCCTTCCTGTGAGCTGTGTCATGAGGCAGCATGGTCAGGTCCTGCCAGGGAGTGGTGTGGGGCCCAGCCTGGGCATGTTTCTGTGCCGAGTGCTGGAGCTTGCCGCCATGTTGTCTCCCTGTGCCCCTGCCCCCAATCAAAAACCCCTCCCCAAAGGGAAGAACCAGTTTTCCCTCTGTGGGAGGGCGGCAGCAATCAGTCTATGCTGGTAATTCTCCACCCATCCCTGAGCCTGGGGCTTCCATCATGCTGCCTCTTCGCATCTGCATGAAGGACAGATTTAGCCAATTAACCCAAGTTCACCTTCCTCTGATTAATTCCCCATTCTGTCTTTCCATGTGTTGTCTCTCGTTTTCTCCCTCCTCCTTCCCTCTTCTTGCCTCTCCTCCCCCCTCTAAACCTTACAGATAGCTCGTGAGGCTGAGGCAGCCATGTTCCACCGCAAGCTGTTTGAAGAACTTGTGCGAGGCTCGAGCCACTCCACAGACCTCATGGAAGCCATGGCCATGGGCAGCGTGGAGGCTTCTTATAAGTGTTTAGCAGCAGCTTTGATAGTTCTGACGGAGTCTGGCAGGTAGGGCCCCAAGGGCAGGTAACTCCGCAGGATACCAGCCTCTTGCTCCAGCTGATCTAGAAGACAGCTAGGGCCCTGCCTCTGGGGCCTGGGCTCCGGTCCTCTTCTCTGCAGGAAGCCAGCCAGGGAGGTCAGGGCAGGGCAGGACCAAAAGGGCCCTCAGCTCGGTAGGCGCAGTGGATGGCACAGGCCGCTGGTGAGGGACTCGTTCCTGTGAGCCTTGATCTTGCTCAGCTTAGCCCCTCCACTGGTTGGCCTCTTGGCCTCACATGCAGGGCCACGTTCCTCACCAGCTGTCTGTGCGACTCTTCCCCTCCCTCTCCCGTGTGACGCAGCTCTGACAAAGCTCTGTCCCCCTCTTGTCCCTCTGGACGGATATTGCTCCCCTAGATTGCCCGTGAGGCAGAGGCCGCCATCTACCACTTGCAATTATTTGAGGAACTCCGCCGCCTGGCGCCCATTACCAGCGACCCCACAGAAGCCGCCGCCGTGGGCGCCGTGGAGGCCTCCTTCAAGTGCTGCAGTGGGGCCATAATCGTCCTCACCAAGTCCGGCAGGTAGGAGGTGGCAGCGGCTCCCAGGGGATGCCCTGCTCCGGGGCACCTTCCGTGGGCGTCCTGAGAGCAGTGCATTGAACGGGGCTCAGAGGGCCCTGAGCCCAGGTAAGACCCCTTGGCCTGCCACCTGGGCCCGAAGGACTCCAGGCAGCACTCCCCGGTGGTGTTGGAGCATTTGCATCCAAAGCGAGTTTACAGCCTTGAGATAAACCAGAGACTTAGTTACAGAACTACATACAGATAGACCCACTACAAAGCTTATTTGGTCACGTACAAGCCAATCTTTTAACAAAGTAAAAGGTGGCCAGTTTTGTTCCTTCAGCTACCGCGTGTTCTTTAAAAGTTCCGTTCGGAAAATTCATGCTGTTCCCCAACGTGCTGTTTGGTTGGTGCATCTGTCCCTGTCTGTCTTTGGGCCCCAAAGGCAAGTGGGTTCAGGACCAGGAAAGGTCACCACATTGTCTCGCTGGCACTCGGGTGCCGTGCCACCAAGCCGAGGCCTGTGCTTGGCCTTGGACCTGGGATCGTTTCCTCGTCCGGTCATGGAGTTAGCCTCTGTCACTGCCCCGGTCTGGTAGTGTGCTCCTCATCCCTGCCCCCAGGGCCACGAGGGACTCCTGGAAGGGAAGGGTGGAGGGGGTCAGGCCGGCTGCCCCCATGCTCCAGGGTTGCTGTGCACCGAGGAGTGGCAGGTGAGGCAGCCTGTAGAACTAGGGCATGAGGTCTATGCACATTCCTCAGCAGAGGGCTCGGGATAAACAGCTCCCGCCGTCAGGGCTGACCTTTGTGGAAAGGTCCAGCCTTTGCTGGTCGGCTATTTTTAGCTCCAGTCTTCTGGGATTTCACTCTCACAAGTCCCGACTTCAGCAGTTGCTTCCCTCTGAAAGCCTTGTATGGGGCCAGGCCTTTAGAGGGGCAGTCTCTGCTCTGCCATGGCTTAAGTTTCCCTGACACCTGTTGAGTGTCCTTAGAGCTTGCCTTCTGAGGCCCAGGGCATCCTGTAAGCAAGTTTCCCCAACTCCCAAGACACATCTACAACCACGAGGGTAGTGTCTGTGTGCAAGGAAGCATCTGGCACTGGGGCTCCAAGGGGCCCCCTACCCTCCAGAGGAGCCTTCACAGGCAGAGAGCCTCCCACACTAACCTTCTCATCTCCCGGTCTTGCCTCCTGGGTAACACCCAGATTTCGAAGCCTCGCTCAGAAATCCTCAGGTTTGGCTCTCGAGCCCAGTTGCTGGGACTGCCTCAGGGCCAGGGCGGCGGTGTGGGGGCAGGGGAGAGGGCACAGCAGGAGAGAAGGCTTACGCTACATTCCCAGGGGGACTGGTGGGCTCCAGCCTGTTCCTCGCAGATGTCAGGAGTCAGGTGCTATTCACATGCTGCTTGGCTTGTAGCTGTTGTTGGCAGCAAGAGGAGTGGGTGCTGGTGAGGCTGGGCAGGGCTGTATCTGCCAGGGTGGAAAAGTTCAGAGGAGGGGGTTCTGCCAACTGTAGGCCATGTCGGGTGAATGGGTGAGACTGTCCGTGCTGGGTTGGTATGATCCTGGGGCCCTGGGCTGTACGAAGGGGAGGAAGGCAGGTGGGTAGCATAGTATAGGAAGAAGGGTCGTTTTCTATTCCTTGGAAGGTAGAGGATGACGGGCTGCCCTGGCCGTGGAAGCATATGCTAAAATGGCCAGGGTCTCATGCTGGCAGAGTGAGTTGGATTAGAGGGCGAGCTGGTGCTGAAGGCCCTGTGGGGCATCCCGGGTGGCTCTGGAACACCATTTAATGGTCTCTTCTGCACGTCCTTCATCCCATTTCAGGTCTGCTCACCAGGTGGCTAGATACCGCCCCCGTGCCCCCATCATTGCTGTGACCCGGAATCACCAGACTGCTCGCCAGGCCCACCTGTACCGTGGCATTTTCCCTGTGGTGTGTAAGGACCCGGTGCAGGAGGCCTGGGCTGAGGACGTGGACCTTCGGGTGAACTTGGCCATGAATGTTGGTGCGTGCTGGGAGCAAGGGCTAGAGCCTGGAGGGGTGTGGGGAGGGTGCTTGAGCACTGATATCCTTAGAGTCCTCCAAAAAGGGGAACAGGCAGACCTTAGGCTGCACAAGAATCCTCACTCTCTTCCCTGGGAGTCTTCTCTGAATCCTCCTTCCCATTCCCTGAAGTTCTGGGCTGAGCTGCCAACTTCCTCTCCTCTCTCTCTTCCAGTCTGGGGGACCCCAAACAAAAAGGATCCTGGGTAGTCAGGGGTATCTGTTCTTGGGCATTTGCTCATTACTGAGGGTTTAAAAAAAAAAAAAAGAGCCACAACTTCTACACTGTGGGGTGTCATACACACAGATTATGTACTCATGGCCTTTGTCCCTGATAAAAGGAGGTGTCAGTGGATGTGAGAGGAAGCACTCCACCCTCTTAAGTATAAAATGAATGATGTCCAAAGGTCCCTGGCAACTCCGCCATTCCATTGATAAGGAAGTATCTCGGCCTCCCTCATCTGTTTTGCCTGGGCTGGGAGGCTCGCGCCACCTTGTGGTGGAAAGAAGTAATGGTCCGCAGTCCTGTTTGCGTTGGAACAGTCAGCTAGGTGCATACCTGCCTGGCTTGGCTTTCACTCACCAACCTTTCTTCTCTTCCTTCAGGCAAGGCTCGAGGCTTCTTCAAGAAGGGCGATGTGGTCATTGTGCTGACTGGGTGGCGCCCCGGCTCCGGCTTCACCAACACCATGCGAGTCGTGCCTGTGCCGTGATGGGCCCCAGAGCCCCTCCTCCAGCCCCTGTCCCATCCCCTTCCCCCACCCCATCCATTAGGCCAGCAATGCTTGTAGTGCTCACTTGGGGTCTGTCACGTGGCGCTGGTGGGCTGGGATGCCAGGGAAGCTGAATGCCCCTGTAAAACATGACTGTTTTTTAGGACCCTGTTCGGGTGAGGTGACCCAGAGCTGGGTTGCACATCGTATGATCTCACCCAAGCAAGGGACGAAGGAAGGGTGCGGGACTGGAAGCCCTGGAGCTTAACATGGAGGGCAACAGCTCCTGCTTCTCTTCCTTTGCATACTCCCATTCTGTTCCTGTAGAAAACAGATGCTCAGAGAACTCCCAATCCTGGCCTGGGGTCAAGAGACCACCAGCAAGAGTAGCAGCATAGGGCAGTGGTTCCAGTTTAAGGAGACTGGCTCGGGCCCTTACTTGCTTCTCCACACCCTTCTGTCTCCCCCCACTTCCCCTTGTTGTGCACGTCTGTTCCTACACTCAGCTTTCGCTGCAGGCACACTCCACCCTCCATTTTCCCCACTACTGCAGCCGCCTCCAGGCCCGTTGCTATAGAGCCTACCTGTGTGTCAATAAACAACAGCTGAAGCACCCGGTTCCTCTCTTTTCTGATGGGGGTGGGGTGAGGGGTGAAACCCACCCTCCAAGTAGAGCAAAAACGGCAAGAACCGTGCATCTCCTGGTGGTCACTTCTGTGTGTGACCCAGGCCACCCGCCCTCCTGTCCTCTGTGGGGTACAGAGGTGCTGGGAAAACAGGAGGATACTGTCTAGAGATACGTACCCCTTCAGCACCCTGAGGAGGCAGTAGCTGGGTCAGTGAGCCTCAGCTGGGAAATTTTACTGGCTTATTTGGACCAAAGAGGAGAGGGCAAGCGACAAGTCCCCTCCCTTCTGCTCTGGTGGGCTAGATCTTCACCAGCAGATGTCCCCAGTAAGGGCACTGTAGGAGAACACCAGCTTCTGCTCAGAATATTTCTCTCTGGGCTCCCTTTGTGCCCCATTGTCTGCCCCTTCCATGACAAAACAGGGCCAAGGGGTTCAGAGAGGTGTAGGAAGGGAACGGAATCTGGCTTGCACCTTACTGCTCTGGACTCCTCAAGAATCAAGCCCTACCTGGTGGGAGGAGGCACTGGTCTTGAAGGAAGGTCGGGTGGGCTCCAGGAATATAGGGCTTTGGCCTCATTCTCAAGGCCCAGCATATTGTCTCATCGGGCCACTCTGCTTTTTCTGGCCATCAGTCCCTCCTCAGGACCCAACTTGGAAAAATGCGCAAAAGCATTCCGCTTTCCGGGCTGTCCCAACTTCCCGACTATCCTGTTTAAAATGTCCTGGTGTTCCCTAACTCCTGTCCCGTTGGTGCTGTGGGGAGAAGCCGAAACCCACCCTGGAGCTCAGAGTCGGGAGGCTTTAGAGAAGGACGAGAACCGGTTGCTGCAGTTGGCTGTGGTAAGGGCTGAGGAGGAAGAACCTGGAGGGGACCCGAGCTATCTGCTGGGAGGGGCAGGAGGTGAAGACCCAGGCCCGGGCCACCGTGACTTGCGGGTCTGGAGGTACTGGTAGAATCTGCGCAGAGCTTCGGACAGGGAAGCGGAGGAGGAACGGCCAATGGGCGGGGCCCGTCCCGCGCGAGCAGCCAATGGGCGGGGCCCGTCCCGCGCGAGCAGCCAATGGGCGGGGCCCGTCCCGCGCGAGCAGCCAGTGGGCGGGCTGGGGCGGAGGCGGGCCGACGGGCGCCGGGTCTGGCCGTGCGGTCCCCGGCGCTTGCTGAAGGCGCGGCGATGACCGCTCTGAGCCGGGGCGAGGCCACCGAGGCGGGCAGGTAAGGGGCTGAGGCCCGCGGGCTGGGCTCGGCGGCGGGGCGGCGGGTGGAGGATATCGGAGGCTGCCGCGAGAGGACGCTGCCCGGCGGGACGAGGCGGCCTCGGGGCTCCCTACGCCTAGGCACATTCTGGCCGCGGGGCAGACACTTCCCGGCCGCCGGAGTTTGGGCTCGGCTCCAGAGCTGCGCAGCACGGCCCGGGGCTCCTCCGGGGGCTGCGAGGTGTTGGCGAGGGGGCAGATGGCCCCGCTGTAGGCGCTGGGGGATGAGAGAAGTCCGGGCAGCATCAGGATGGGCACCCTCCGTGGGACGCCTCTTACCTCGTCTCCACCACCATCGCTATTCATTCATTCGTGTACTCATTCATTCATTCACTCACTCATTCATGCCCCAGCCAAACCGATTCCCTCGTCCTGACTGCCCTCACCCAAAGTCTGGCCCTTCCCTGCTGGCCCTCGGAGGGGTCAGCCACTTTCTTCTCCCAGCCGGGTCTGCAATTGTAGTGGCCCGCGGCGGCCCAGGAGGCAGCGTGGTGCTGTCCCGGCACGACGCAGCCGCGCCCGTGTTCCAGGCCCGTCCTCATCGGGCGGGCTGGGGCCGGTCTCTCAGCCTGGAGATCTGATCCAAAGCCTCTTTGGGAGGAAGGAAAGTTCCTGCGGCTGGGAAAGGGGCAAGGAGTTGGGCAGGCTGGACGTGGCGTTTCACGCGACAGCAAGAACTGTGTCCTCTGCACCTTGAGGTCTTGGGTGCTGCTGGCTGGATTATTTAGGGAAGACAGAGACAGTGAATGAAGCTGTAACAAGTTCCTACGCTTGCCCAGGTCCCAAGCCGCACAGTGTGAGCTCTGGAGGTCGGCCTGGCTCCCCTGGCCCGCTAGCACTGGGGAAGGTAGGGTGAGTGTGTGAGTCTTGTGCCCACTCCACACAGGTTCATGGAACTGGCTGAATCCTCTGGCGCTCCCTCTGCCCTGTTTTCAGAGGCTGGTGGGTCTCTACCCAGCCTCATTTGCCCTTACTTGCTTTGTCTCCCCACTCCTCATGGTTGTTTAAGGGTGCCCCATCCTTGCGGGTGTCAGGATCTTAGGGAATAAGAGAGGGCCCTGACAATCTGTGATGTCTTTACCCCATGTACACCTCTAGCTGGCTCCAAGGTCCAGCTCCTTTAAAAGATCTATAGGGCTGCAGGGAGAGTTGGCGTAGAGAGGGTGTCCCTCCCGTCCTGCAGTGAGGGCGTCAGTATGCCCTCTCCCCAGTTCTCTGATTATGTTGGCTAGAGTCCAGCCCATGCTGACAGACATGGTTTGAGGTTACAGTTTGACAGGACCACGTAAGCAGTGAGCATCTCTGGGGCAAACGGACAGGTCTAGAGGGCAAAGCTGATAGAGGCTGCCACCAAGCCTCCACCAGAGTATGGGCTGGGACCAAGATGAAGTTCTTCCTGACTTGCCCAAGTGAGAAATTTGGGAATTAGCCTAGAGGGGACAGCCTGGGCCAATCTGTGCCTTGATGTTCCAGGTTGCTTTCAAATTTCTGAACTTAGGGGAGTCCTCCCTCAAGAGCCTTAATGCAGACCAGAAAGACCTGTGTGCCAGTTCTCCCACCTACGATGACCCCCTGAGGTTGGAGTTGGCGGGACTCAGGATGGGTTTATGCCAGCCAGCCTCCCTGAAGCTCTTCCAAGTGCCTGCCTGGGGGCTCCGCCCAGTCCTTAACCTGGTGAAGCTGTGGCTTTCCCCGGTCCCCCACCCCCCAGCAATGCCACATACCGTATTTATCGAAACAGCATGAAGAGCCTTGCTCTGGGAATCGGAAGTGAGTTCTAAGGCTCACGCTGCTCTTATTTGGCTGAGACTTGGGGAAAGTCAGGTCCCCTTTCTGGGTCTGCTTTGCCACCATCATAAGGTAAGGAAATTGGATGGTAGGCTCCCAAGGGTGTTCTCTATGATGTCATTCAGTGATTCTGTTATTTGCCTCAATTTCCCCTCAATTTCTGATGGCATTTTATTTCTTCACATAATTTCTTCTTTGCTATGACTCCCTACAGAAAGTCCATGAAATCAAGGGGTGCCCGGCTGGCTCAGTTGGTGGAGCAACATGACCCTTGATCTCATGGTCATGAGTTCAAGCCCCACAGTGGGCATAGAACTCACTTAATAAACACACACACACACACACACACACACACACACACACACAGAGACCCATGAAATGGAAAACCAAACAGCATTCCACTTGGTACAGTGTCCAGTGTCTGAGTTTGGACACCAGGAAATAACTTGCTTTTCTCCTTTCCTGAAAAGTGAACATAGGCCCCCACATTTCTGCCACTGCTTCTGGTGCCAAGGTTAAGTTTGGCATGAAGTCGGTCTAGGCCACTGTGCTGCTATGCACCCAGGCTGCAGGGCATCAATCTGTCACTCTCCGTCGTCACCAAACTTTGCAGCTTTGATGAAACCCCCAGGTGTTTACTCAAGTAGGAAAGGAAGGAGGAGGGGATAGCAGGGACCCCTGGGAATGGAGCTTTCTGTGTGATGAGAAGTAACTGCCCCCCACCCCCCACCCCAAGGAGTACCTGTGTGCTATAGCACAGATTCCAGAAGGAAGGTTTTTTCCCCCCAAGAATGTAAACCTCTCTAGGGTAAGCTGTTTCCACCCTTCTCCCTGCCACAGCTACACATTTTTACTGGCTTAGAAATGCTTGGTCCTGGGGCGCCTAGGTGGCTCAGATGGTAGAACGTCTGCCTCCAGCTCAGGTCACGATCTCCAGGTCCTGGGATCCAGCCCCACATTCAGCTCCCTGCTCAGCGGGGAGCCTGCTTCTCCCTCTCCTTCTGCCTCTCCCCCCGCTTGTGCTCTGTCTCTTTCTCTCTCTCAATGAATAAATAAAATCTTTAAAAAAGAAAGAAATGCTTGGTCCTAGTTTAGGATAGGAGTTTTAATAACCCGTGGAGACTGAACCACTCTTTGAGTCCTAGTCATAACCACATGTTTCCTCAGCTGATGTTTAATATCTCTTAGAAAATCACAAGGTGAGTTTTTTAAACAGTCGTGTTTTTGGCTGCCACTATTTCTTTCTTTTTTTACTTAAAAGTTATCTCTATACCCAAAGTGGGGCCCGAACTTACAACCCTGAGATCAAGAGTCACACGCTCTACTGACTGAGCCTGCCAGGTGCCCATCGGGAAGCATCTGACTCTGGGTTTGGGCTCAGATCATGACCTCAGGGTCCTGGGATGGAGCCCCGTGTCACACTCAGTGTGGGGTCTGCTCAAGTCTCTCCCTCTCCCCCACCTCAACCCCCCCCACTCTCTTGTGCTCTCTCTCAAATAAACAAATAAATCTTTAAAAAAGAAAAAAAATAATTAGTTTAAATCAAACACAAATTCCATTCCCTCCCAGCAGGTTGATGTGGCGCAGTAACGGTATATTAAATAATTGCCAAAATCCAACCGGCATTTCATTTCTTTGACATCCCTCTTGTTCTCTGACTTAGGGTCAGAGCAGCCTGGGTGGTATGCCTCAGCAAACAACCGTGACCAGTCCTAAGGCTTTTCTCTCTCTCTTCTGTGGAAAAAAATTTAAATGTTTCTAATAGGTGTCAATATTTACTGGATTACTCAAAACCTACCCA